TACTTAATAAACTTGGGTATTTGGAATTTCAAAAAAAGCACATTTTTTTTATACTTATTTTTTCTTGAAAAATGTTTTGTTCTTTTGTACGTAGGGTCACTGTGAGTTGGAACTGACTTGACAGCTCCTAACAACAACTTTTTTTAAAAAAACTTTGTATTATTTAAGTACTGTACCAGTAATAGTGATTTATATTTATGTTGAGAAAATTTAGATGATCCACAGGTTAAAGTCCCTTTTACCTCCTTTTCCCCGATCTCGTTTTCCTTTTCAACCTTGAGGTTATCACTGTTTGTAGTTTTGGTGTGTAGCCTCCCAGACCCTTTTGTATGCATTTACTCTATTGCTTTTATAATTTAGAACATCAATGTCTGAAGAAAGGGGAAAGATCAGTGAGCTGGGGAAGTGGCTGAGAGCAGCACCAGAGGCACCATGGCAGAAATGCTCTTCACAGCCATGGATTGGCATTGTTGGTGTGAACGTACATGGGGTTAAAGGGAAAGTCTAGTCAAGGAAAAACCACAAAGCAAAGGAATCTTGGGCCTTTCCAGAGATCAGAGTCAGAAAACAAAAGATCTGATGTTTTTATTTTTCTGGTTTTTATTTTATTTTTTTCCTTTAAAACTAATCAGAAGTTTTCCATCATCTTTCCTGGAGTTTTATTCATAGAGTATCGAAAGGTTTTTATGACCTTTAACAAAACGCCTTTTTTTTTCTAAAACATAAAATGACTGTGTAAATTAGAGGCTATTATTGGCAGTGGTAAGAATGGTGAGTTGGTAATTCATCAGTCTGTTATATCTCAGGTTTCTGTGGTGGATGCTCAGCAAATGCTTGTTGAACGAATAAATTAATTTTCTTGTCATCAGTAGCTCCTTGCTATCTTTATCGCCCCTCTTCCTTTGGAGCCCTGGCTGTGTTGGGCCCCGAAGCAGATAAACTCTTATCCTGACCCAGCCTGTGTGTGTAGAATTAGGTGCCCTTGAGGGCTTTAGTAGCCTATTTTGCTTCTGTGGGTTGAAATCCTTATCAGTGTTGCCACACATTAATTCTGAGGGACCATGACCTTTGATTTTTAATCTTGTTTTGGTTTAAGGGGAACTGGTTAGTCTTTAACAAAAGATGGTTGGTTTGGGGGTGAGCAGTCTTTGCTACACCTAATGTATGCTTTTGTAATGTCTGATTGTTCAACTTTGCTCATTCTTCCCAAGCACAATGCTTGGTGGTTTTCTGGAAGTGTTTCGAGGTAGAAAATAAGACCGATTGGCCTCTTAACTGATAGCTTGCCCCTCCTGTCTTTATAGGCTGCCTGTTGTGCTCTGAAGTTAGCAGTTCAGCCTCTGTGACTGCCACTGACAGCCTACTCAGAGAATTTAAATGGCAGACACTCTGATTTTTATTATTTCTATTGCTATCCCATAAAAATAATTTATACACTTTACAAGCTTGGCAGATGTGCAGATGTTTTGCTTCCCTCCAAAGTCTGCAGACACATCCATCTTGCAAATAAATAAATACTTATTCTGATCCTTATTTCCCTCTCTTCGGTAATTGTGGAATGAGAAAATGGTCCAGGCCCCTCTGGGCTTCTTTGTTTTATCACATTTTCCCCATAGAAACAATGTTGTAGGTAGTGGTAGTACACACAGGCTCATCCATAAAAACCTGTTTCGCTTAAACCAAAACCAAACCTGTTGCCATTAAGTCAATTCCGACTCATAGCAACCCTATAGGAAGAGTAGAACTGCCCCATAGGGTTTCCAAGGAGCTGGTGGATTCAAACTGCTGACCTTTTTGGTTAGCAGCCAGGCTCTTAACCGCTGTACCATCAGGGCTCCAGATGCCCCTATTTGTAACTGTTACCCATTGTAGGTACATAGGGTTTGAGCACTGCTTTGGGTTAAGTATACCTTTGTCAGGGCTGACCTGTTGAAACATAAGCCCCATCTCAATTCTAAACAGTTGATTCTTCACGAAGGCTTAGAAACTTGGGAGTTTATGGCCAGGTGTTAGGTGTGATTTTAAAAATGGAGTTTTGAGTCTCTTAGCAGAAGGTAACATGCTGTAAGGAGTTAGGATTATAATGTTATAAGGAATTAGTGTTTAAAGACCAGGATTCATGAATACAGTCAGTGATAGTGGTAAGTTTATGGAATATGGGTTATTGACATTCTCCTCAAACGAGAGAAACTGATTCCAAAGATTAGCTTCCAGAAAGCTGTAGTATGTGACCTTTATTTCTGAATTAAAAAAAAATTAGATATGCTTTTTACAGTATACCATGAGGTGCTTGTTAACTTTGAGGGAACTTGATTTCAGACAGTGGTGTTTATTCTCCTGTCTTATTTCTAGCACTTTTCCACCTTCTGCCTTTGAAGCAAATTTATTGTAAAATTGATACCTAACTTGAATTCATAAGTCAAGCCTGCATAGAGAAGTCATTTTGATGTCTAAGGGCATGTTTTTTCTTTATTTCATTCATTTATCTTATTGTGTTAAATATATCTAACAAAAGTTTGCCATTTTAAACATTTTTGAGGGTGCAGTTCAGTGCAACATTATATGTTTTCATTCGTACAGAAATAACCGTTGATCCAATGACATCAGCCTATATTGGAGGATGTGTTCATTCTATCTTCCTGTTAAAACTGGAGTTTAGTGTTGAGTGATTCACTGAGTTTCTTAATATGTTTAAATAGTAAAGTTTCTGTGGGTCAAGACAAGCATGTTGAAAGAGGAGGAATTATAGAAACACTTAATGGAGTCTTAAGTTAAAAACACTGGAGTTGAGGAGAATGGATCCAAGTTCCAGAGTAAGGGAAAGCATGACATTTTGGATCCCCTCAAGTTAGTGACTGCTCTGCATAGGTGCATCGCAAGTGCTTTAACATCCATATATACATACGTACATATTTTCTCTGATTTGGAGAAAATCTTGTTGTTTCTCTCTTTCCTTTAAATGTCTTTTCATATTTATTATTAGTACCTTTGCAAAGGGGAGCAAAAGCTTATTTTGAGTTTTTGGTAAGATGAGATGAAAGAACTCTGGGGGTTGGGTGGATTCCTGTGTCTGGACCTTTCTTTGCCAACAACTAGTCGGCAGATCCTGCCTGATTTTCTGTCTGTAAAGTGGTAAGTTGGTTATCAAGGATCTTTAAATCTTGACTTTGCTTTTATAGTAACGTTATTGTTTACAGTTTGATACATGTAATTTTTATTTGATATTTCTGAAGTTTTAAAAAAAAATTGGCGTTAGAAGATGATAGGAAGGTAGTAGAATATGCATAATTGGCCTTCAGAAAGATTCTGTAGAACTGTAGGGCTTTTTGTTTTAAGGTAGAAATAGTGAAGATTAAAATCTGCAAAATTTTTAAATATTCTATCTGTAAGACAACTAGCTGACTCTTAAAAAAACAAAATTTGAGTGTGGGGAGAGGTCTATTCCAGAGAACAAGAGACTTTTGAGACGTATAAACCAGTTGCAGTGTGTGATTCTTAATTGGATCCTGGTCTATAAAATATGTTTTGGATATAATTGGGAATTTTTTAATATGGACTGGGTATTAGAATGATCCTGGGGAATTCTTAATTTTGTCATTTGTGATAGTAGTATTATAGTTATGTGGGAGAATTTTTTATAGAGATACTTGATAAAATACCTAGAGGTGAGGTATATCTGTAATTTACTTTGAAGTGGTTCAGAAAATTAGGAAATTTGGCAAAGTATTAACAATTATTATATATAGGTGGTAGGTATATGTTCATTGTATTATTCTTTGTTTCCCTCTATTTGAAAATTTTCAAAATAAAACATATTTTAAAAAGTAATTTACACTCAGCATCTATCTATTTAGATTCATTTATCAGTGTCTGCTAGATATCTCTGTAACCCATTATGGCTATCTCTGATTACCCAAAACTACCATAAACTCACTGTGCTCCAGCTGAACTTTATTTTCCAGCCTTCCTGTTCTGTTGTGCACTTTCTCATAGGGTTGTTTTCCCCTGTTCCTTCACTTGGCATCTCAACTCCCAGGAGGCATGAATATCAATAGCATAAATAACACCTCTGTCATGTATACCATTGTGGTAAAACATAACTCCATTTCCATATCCCCCACTTTGCCGAGCACCTTAAGTGACACTTTCATCCAGTGTCGTTTTTAAATATATAATTTTATTTTTTTGTTGTTGAGAATATACACAGCAAAAAAAACCCATTGCCATCAAGTTGATTCAGACTTATAGCAAACCCATAGCAAAACATATACCAATTCAACAGTTTTCTACACGTACCATTTAGTGACGTTGGTTACATTCTTCAAGTTGTGTAAACTTTCTCACCCTCCTTTTCTGAGTTGTTCTTCCCCCATTGACATGAATTACTGCCCTTTACGAAGTGGTTAAGAGCTATGACTTAACAAAAAAGGGTTGGCAATTTGAATCTGCAGCTGCTCCTTGGAACCCGTATGGGGCAATTCTCCTCTGTCCTATAGGGTCGCTATGAGTCGGAATCACTGGACGACAACAGGTAAGGGTCCTACTTAATCTTTTGATTTGCTGTTATCAGTTTCATCCCACATTGAGAATAACATCCCATATGTTATCCAGTATCTTTTAACTGAACCTTTGAAATGTAGTTCCCACTATTCAGCTGATTATTCCATGTTGTTTGTGATAGTTGACTTTTTAAAGCAAAGGATACCACCTGGTTAACCTCTGGCAGTTATTTTGATCCGGTCCTTGAGTATGGGGCCCACAGTCATTCCAGAGCACCAGTCAGTTGAGCAGATAATTTTGTCATTTAATAGGTTGTAATCTCAGTATTAGGCAAGGTGTTCACTAAATCAGGTTGTGCCTTTTCTTTTAAAGGTGGGAAGAAGAGCGATATCCTGAAGGCATCAAGTGGAAATTCCTAGAGCATAAAGGTCCTGTATTTGCTCCACCATATGAACCTCTTCCAGAGAGTGTCAACTTTTGCTATGATGGTAAGTTGTTCCAAGGTTGTCCAGTTCTTGGCCAAAGTAAGACTCTGCTTCTGTTTAGGGATAGAAGACAAGGAAGGATCCTGTGCTGTATGAACCTTTCCGCTTATTTCGTTTTGTTGTACTGTCATTGTGTGGTTTTGTGGAAGGAACATCAGATGTTTACTTAACTCTTAAAGGCCCATTTGGTGCTGAGAAAGGGCCTGTTAGTGTCTTGTCTACATGGTCCACAAAAAAGGTTCACAGCGTGTGGTCCAAAAGCAGCATGCTTTCATCTAAACTTCATTCTAGGGAGCTACTTTTTTGCAAGAGGGCTAATTGGAAAACCCTCCCTTGAATGGAGGTATATTTTTTTAGCAAAATAAAGTAAGCTGACAAGCTGCTTATCACTAGAAATAGAACTCGTACTTGGATGAGGATTAATAATCACCCATCAACCTCAAGGTATACCTAGTAGGTGACCACCATCCATTCTATTGAACACAACACTATGCCTTTGATACCTCAGCAGTTAAGTCTGAGAAATGTTCTGCCTGGGTGTCTTAGAACCCTCAGAATTGCCCACTATTACCCGTATTTCTGTCCTGGGGGTGAAGGATTTGAGAGTGGTCTTTGACACTCCTATTGGTGATATAACAGTATGCAGATGGTAATGCTCAACCGATTTTCCTTGTTCCAAGTATCTTGTCCAGAAATGGCTAGAGCATTGTTCCTAAAAACTTTATGTACTTAAGGTTCACCAGATTGGGTCTGGGCTCATTTAATAGATGTGGAGTGGGACTGGGTGATTCTGAACGAGGTGGTCTGCTAATCAAACTTTGAGAAGCACTGGGCAGGAGAACTGCTGAAAAGCAAGGGTGGTCAACCCTAAGAATCTGCTGCATCGTTTTGCCCACCAGCAGTGGTCTCAGGGCCACAGATGCTTAATAGGTCTAGGTAGTAGTTTATACTGAAGGGCTGGGTCTGCAAGTGAGGGAAGTGCTGAACTTGGCAAGCTGGAGTTCATTTTTTTAAAGTTATATATTTATTGAATGTGCCTGTGTTCAGACAGCCAAGACCCTCCAGTGGACAGCACTGACTATTCCCTGATCTCATGGCATTTGCAGTTTAGCAGCAACCCATAGCCTCAATTAACAGATAAACATCTTGACTTGTGTTGATCAGAAGGCACAGGACAGAGTTCTTTCAGCACTCACAGCAGGTCATTCCTGGTGACTCTTAATGTGACTCAAAGCCAAAACTTCCAATGAAGAGAAAGGGCCTAGAACCATGAAGACAACAGTCGTAAAAGTGCAGGTATTCTGTAGGCCTCGCCTAGGCTCACCAGGAACTTTAGAAAGCTCACTTAGTAAAATCTCCTTTTGAGGTTCAAAGTGATTTCAGGGAAAGCTAGATTCCCTAGTCTTGGGGCCCCTCTAACTTTTCAAGATGGGAAGCCAAGGCTTGGACCAGTCATCACTGGATGCCATAGTCCCCTTCTCTCATTGCTCAGCCCTTCATTATAGGGGCTCCAGCTCCAGGGCTCTAGCATTTTCTTAGTTGGTCTTCTCTCTGGGTCTTCTTTATCCCTTTGAGTGTGAACTTTCACCCTGTAGTACATCAAGAAGTCAAATTTGACAGATTAAAGTTAGAACTGATAGTGTTTAAGTGCTGCCTACTCCCTGGGGAAGAGAATTCTCAGATTCCTTTAGAGCCTTCCAGGGAAGAAAGTTAGGGTATGGAATGGCTATAAGGCAGTGGATTGCTACCACTTCAGAGGATCTCCAGTTTTCAGCTCTGACTCAGCAGTTTCCTTTTCCTGAAGCTCAGCCTTTTCCACAAAATGTTACCATTGTCAGGAACCTTTAAATCACCTACCACTTTGCTGCAGGGAGCTGTCATTTCATCTTTTGACGGCTCATCTAAAATAGTCTAATACCTAAAACAGGAGGAGTCAAAATTGCTTCCTGTCTTGGGGCAGAATTCAGAAAATTGCCTATAGTGTCCCCTTTTTTCCCCAAAAAACTGTTAATATTTAGTTTATACCAAGCAGACCCAGGAACAGTTTACATTATTTCTTGCCTTTTATTTTTTATTAGTGATGTATTGTTTTCCTTTATATTGGAAGCATGTAACAATTTTATTGGCAACTCTGGTTCAGACGTGAGTGAAGGAGTTCTGAAGAACTGCAGGAAACCTTGAAAGCAGCCTAAAGTGCCTCCTTCAACGGCAAGAGCTTAGGGGTGTTGAGAGGGGAAAGCTGCGCCACCTGTTGGGCTTTTAAGTTATGGCTTCCAAGGAAACTCTTCATGTCTGTCAAGACAGTTTCAATTTTGTGCTACAATTCCCTAAATCCCTACAATTAGGGGTGATAATTTGCCAACCGTCATGAGATGAGATGTCTTCTGGGTTTTGAAATGAGTAGATTTCTGGTTACACTTTAGTTTTCTATAATGAATGTGAAAAAAACCCTTGATGAATTATCAATACCTATGTAATAGTTATAGTAAAGCAGTGGAATTATTATTTAATCTCATTTTGTTTTTTGAGTACAGCCAAATGCTATTATTGTTATGGCATGGATTTGTTCCAGATGGTGTTGTAAAGTTGGATTTTCAAGGGGAAAAAAAAAAAAGGAAATTGGCCTGAGTACTGTTAAAAAAAATCCTATTTGAAAAGTATATTCAACTCCCAAATACTTTTCCTTTATTGCTTTATTAACTAATTAAATTACACAAAACCCCTAGACCCCATTCAGATTTTCTTTTCCAGTTAGTGGTTTTCATTGTATAACATTTCAGGATTCCTTTCGAACAGCTCTTAAATGAATGGTTGCACACTGCAAAGACCCCCAGTCATCCTTTATGCCCTGGATGAGCCCCTTTGCCCTGAAAGAGGTAACCTCCTAATCTCTGTGTTCCAGAGTAGCACATCTCAAACTTCAGGGTGTACCCAGGCCACCTGGGGGTCTTGTTAAAATGCAATTTCTGATTCAGTAGGTCTGGGGTGGGGCCCAAGATACTGCATTTCTAACAAGCTTCCAGGTGATGCTCATGCTGCTAGTCTGTGAACCACACTTTTTGAGTAGCAGGGCTCTAGAGGTAGATCTTATTAATTAGGCTATTTCATATGGGAAATCTGGGCTTGTCTGCTGTGGATATATATCTTTATTCATATTCCACCCACCTAACTTTGAAGAAGAAAGATGCCTATTTTTTTTCCCCACAATTCCTTTCTTCCACTCCCTGCCCTATCCCTTCCTCCCCTTCTTGAACAGAGGCTGCTTAGCTTAGCATTGGCAGGAGTCCCTCTGAGGATTTGATTTTTAAAAACCATTGAAGAGGTGTAAAGGAACTTGCTTGCTGAAAGGAAAAGGAAGAGTGGCTGGGCCTCCCTCAGGTCATCCCTGTCCTGAGCAGGCACCTGGGAACATTTTACTGGCATAGTCTTCAGAGAATGACCCAGGTAAATATCTACTAAAGAAAAGGAGAATTTATACAAGTAGATATAAATCAGTATGTTGTTTTTGTTGTTGTTGTTACAGTGTGTCACCAGACCTTTATATACCTTAGGAAGGTAAACCCATTATTAAAGAAGAGATCTCCAGAGCTCAGTATTTATACTTAGAATCTGAATACTACACCTAACTTTTTGGAACCACTTTCTCCTCTAGGTAAAGTCATGAAGCTGAGCCCCAAAGCAGAAGAAGTAGCTACGTTCTTTGCAAAAATGCTCGACCATGAATATACTACTAAGGAAATATTTAGGAAAAATTTCTTTAAAGACTGGAGAAAGGTATTCTAGCCCATATATTAATATCCTAGCACCTTGCAAAAATGTTGGTCAAGTACTAAGTAATTTTACCAAAAAATCCCGGATGTAAAAATTTGGGTTTTATGAATTTTGTTGTATTAAAAGTTGTTTATCTTTTGCTTGTTCATTTACTGTATTTCATAGGGCTTTTGTCCAACAAGAATGCTTATATTTCTTTCCTCCCAGCTCTCATAGCTGTTGTTATTGTGTGCTATCGAGTTGCTTTCGACTCATAGCAACCCAATAGGACAGAGTAGAACTGTGCCCCATAGGGTTTCCTAGGCTGTAATCTTTACTGGAGCAGATCGCCAGGTCTTTTCTCCTGTGGAGCAGCTAGTGGGTTCAGACTGCCAACCTTTCAGTTAGTGGCCAAGCACTTAACCATTGCACCACCAGGACTCCTTCATATGGCTGTAGGAAGGGCTGTATCAGATTATACCAAACAGAAAACTTCAATTCTAATTGAGCAAAGGAAAGTTTCTCTGTCTCTGCAAATCTGCCCTCTATCTTCTGTTGCAAAAATAGAAATTAATCTGACATCCCATTTCCTCTTGATCCTCGATCATTTGCTTTAGGTAGTTTCTGCCCTTGAAACCATATGTATTACAGCTGCATAGGTGATTTCAGAACAATCTCATTCTCAATTTTGATAATGTGAATGGAGGCTGAGCTGAAGTTTACTTTCTGAACTAGCTCTGAAAATAAGATTTAATAAGTAAATAGTGCAAGGATAATGTAAGAAAGAATGAGTATGGGAATGTTTTCTTTTGTTACTTAAATGATATATATGCACAGTTCTCAAACTAGGGTACTCCTATCTCTGGAGCTTTGCGGCAGTGTACCAGAGAGCCCAAGAAACTATATAAGAACCAATCTTTTTCAGTGATAAGTAATTTAAAACATTATATTAGATAAGTATTTTATAATAATACAAAGCAACATTTTTTTTTTCTTTAAAACTCACACACCTCTCCAGACACCTTTGTGTGAAGAAATGGTGTTTCACTCTAATTGCAAAGAAATATAGGGACTTGTTAGTATATTTACCTTCTTTCTAACTATCTTACCTCTCCCTCTTCTTTAAACATTTTTAATTTCTGTAAAATTTTATTGTAGTGAAAATATACATAATAAATATGCCATCTCAACAATTTCTACATGTGCAATTAAGTAACATTGATTATATTCTTCCAGTTGTACAACCATTCTTGCTGTCCTTTTCCAAGTCATTTCACTATCATTAACATAACTCAGTGCCCCCTAAGCAAAACTCCCCCTTTCCCACTCCCTCCCACCCCTGGTAACTGCTAATAATCTTTGGTTTCTGTATATTTACTTATTTTATACTAGTGAAATTACATTTGTCCTTTTGCAACTGACTTATTTCTCTCAGCATGATGATTTCAAGGTTCATCCGTGTTGTGGCATGCATCAGAACTTCATTTCTCTTTTTGGCTGAGTAGCTTTCCATTGTATGTGTAGTTATCCCCACCTTTTGGCTATTATGAAAAATGCTGTAATGAACATTGGTGTACAGGTTTCTGTTTGTGTTCCTGCCTTCACGTCTTCTGGGTATATACCTAGGATTGGGATTGCTGGGTTATATGGTAATTCTGTGTTCAACTTTTTTGAGGGACCAAACAGTTTTCCACAGAGGTTGTACCATTTTCCCCTTTTCTTTTGACTAGGAAATGAGTAATGAAGAGAAGAATATTATCACCAGCCTAAGCAAATGTGATTTCACTCAGATGAGCCAGTATTTCAAAGCCCAGACGGAAGCACGAAAACAGATGAGCAAAGAAGAGAAGCTGGTATCTAAAAATTTTTTAAACCTCTGAATGATTGTGGAGTAGTGATTGGTTCATCTAATTCTCTTCTTGGTTTTTGTGACACAGCACATTTACTTTAGTAATCTTGCATCACTCTATACTAAAGATTTAGGATTCTCAGCTAGACTGAAAACGGTGAATATACCGCTTTGTTTAATGGCTAAATATAAGAATCCTGGTGCTCCACTGATCTAAAAACCAGTTAGTATTCCAATAATATACAGTATTTAAGATGACCAACCCTGCCCTGCAATGGCTGTTGAGTATTAAGGATTAAGATAGATCAAATAATATTGGCCATGCACCTCCTTGTTCTTGGATCTATTTTATTCTGGATTTAGCCATGCTAATCCATCTCCATCTTCCAGCCACGTTTATTTTCTTCATCAGGGGCTATAAAGCCTCAACTCTGGTTGAGCAAAGGAAATTTTGCCTGTCTCTGCAGGGTCTTGTAAATGGGCTGCCTGTTCTTGTAAATAAAGTTTTATTGGAACACAGCCACACCCATTTGTTTACTTATTATTAATGACTGCTTTCATGTGACAATGGCAGAGTTGAGTAATTGCCCTCAAGCCTAAAATACTTTCTATCTAGAACAAGTTTGCTAACCCTTGATCTAAAGGAATCCAGACTAGAATCTCATTTTCTTAAAACAGGTTCAGAATTTAAGGACTGAGGAATTCTTTGCACTTTAAAGCACTATAGTTTCAGTATTTTAAAGGACTTACATGTTAATATAATTTAGGTCCTTGTATTTGTATCTCATTGTTTGATGGTACCTATTTGGCTCTTAGTTTAAAATGAGTTACTATAGGAATAACAGAAACCCTGGTGGCATAGTGGTTAATGCTACGGCTGCTAACCAAAAGGTTGGCAGGCACTCCTTGGAAACTCTCTGGGGCAGTTCTGCTCTGTCCTGTAGGGTCACTATAAGTCAGAATTGACTTGACGGCAACGGGTTATAGGAATAATAATTATCTCAGACTTTACAGTCTCAGTTTAGACTGATCCCCAATATCCCAAATTACTGAAATTTGGTATCTTCACTTTGGAGAGTGTTTAGGAGAGTGTTAAAACTTGAAAACCACTTTAGAGCTTTGTTCTTGAAATAGTGTGACTCAAAGATAAAACTAGTTGCCGTCAAGTCAGTTCCAACTCGTGCTGACCCCATGCGTGTCATAGTAGAACTGTGATCCCCACAGGTTTCTTGATGGCTGATTTTTGGGGAGTAGATTGGCAGGCTTTTCTTTAAAGGCCCCTCGGGGTGAACTTGAACCTCCAGCCTTTCAATTAGCAGCCAAGCACATTGACTATTCGCACCATCCAGAGACTCCATTCCAAAGATAGGAGGTTTTATAAGCATCACTTTGTCAGAGCCCCATCAAAGACATTTGCTGCCAGCAAGTTCTGAGTCTTTCCACCTACAAGGTAGAAGGACTTAGTTAAATTGAATCACTAAGTGTAAGAGGGATGAGAAGTCAACAGAGGGTAAGGAGGCTCAAAATCCTTTCATTTTTCCTTTTTGGAGCAATAATTACAGTGTACAGTATATATACCTATATACCTGGAAAAGAATCTGTGACAGGCTCATCTGGACTTGAAAACCCATGTGAAATACTGTTCAGCTAAATACCTTTAAAGCCAACTGGAAAATACAGAGATGTTCTTTTATGAGATCCTATCAGACTTTTCTGCATTCCCCATTTTGATACTGTTCAACCAAAAGAGATATATCCTTTAAGATACAAGAATCAGTTTTTAATCTGTAGTTGAAGTCAATCTTTATTGGTAGATCCTTTGGGGAATTTTATTGTATGTAAGTTTGGGGGAAAAAAAAATCCACTAGAATTTTTCCTTTATTTGAATTCTTTTCTTAGTGATGTTTAGACTTTGCTCTACCTTGACCTGTTTCTTCCACCCAAGAGATAAAATATGTTAGCATAGGTCAGCAATTTGAATGCATTTTGAGTACTTTCTTGCTGTTTTTCAGAAAATCAAAGAGGAGAATGAAAAATTATTGAAGGAATATGGCTTTTGTGTTATGGATAACCACAGAGAGAGAATTGCCAACTTCAAGATAGAGCCTCCTGGGCTTTTCCGTGGCCGTGGCAACCACCCCAAGATGGGCATGCTGAAAAGACGGATCATGCCCGAGGATATAATCATCAACTGTAGCAAGTGAGCACACAGCTCATTCTTTGGGCTAGAAATGAGTTGGAGGGCTTCCTTGTAGTTGGTAATATTTCCCACGTTAACAGAGGACTGTTTAGGAAGGAGACACTTAGGAGTATAATGATATTTCCAGGTGTAGGTTTCCAAGCATTTTTTAGGTATTGACTGGTGAGGAGGAAACTTAGAAATGTCTTCTCAGCAGGTCCTGAAAGGTGAAATTGTTCCTCACTTCTCATTTTACTGCTCCTCCTGTCTTATTTCCACAGAGATGCCAAGGTTCCTTCTCCTCCTCCAGGACATAAGTGGAAAGAGGTCCGACATGATAACAAGGTTACTTGGCTGGTCTCCTGGACAGAGAATATCCAGGGTTCCATTAAATACATCATGCTGAACCCCAGTTCACGGATCAAGGTAAGGGGATAGCTGAGAGCTGCACCAGTTAGTGGGCCTGATAATCTCTATTTTTTTTGTTGAAATGCAGTGCTCTCACCATCTAGATTCACTCTGACAAACTAAAAACTCTTCGCACAAAAAGGGGCAAATATTTTATGAGTTCCTGAGGATGTATTCGTTTTTTACATCATACTGTCGTCTTAATATATTAATTGACAGATATTTTCTGAAAGCCAGGTAGTGCCACGCACAGTGTGTGCGTGGTTCCAGGAATTGTGTTGGTAAACAAGACAGATGCAGTCCCTGCCCTCATTGCTTACTGTGCAGTGGTCAGAATGTGATGAAGAGCGTGGTAGATGTATATTGGCTTCTAAAGCTCTCTCCCTCTTCCTCTCCTTGCCTGGCTCTGAGGAAGGGAATGTAATTGCTCTAAATCAGGAAAGAAGTTGTGAAATCTAGTGTATCTTACAAACTTCTGGCTTCCCAAGGTCTCATGTTGGTAGGTTCCACCTATTTCACCAAGACCAGATGGATAATGATGTGAAAAAACACATTGTAAACTATGTTATATACCCATGTGTTGCTGTTTATTGATATTAATATCGTTATTGAATGTCTTAGAAGGGCAGTCAGTTCTTATTAACCAGCTAACCATTCCCTAGCTTTGGAGAGTCCCATGAACTTCTTCCTTCAGACGTATTATGGAAGGGTGAATAGCAACCTAAAAAAGGCAAGAGTTTAGATCTATGTATACTTTGACTGTGACTGTGACTAAAGATTTTCTTAATCCTGACTTATTTATGTCTGTTAAGATGTGAAAAGATGGCGCAGTGGTTAAAACGCTTGGCTGCTAACCAGAAAGATCAGTGGTTTGAACCCACCAACCACACCACAGGAGAAAGATGTGGCAGGCTGCTTCCATAGAAATTACAGCCTTGGAAACTCTATGGGGCAGTTCTACTCTGTCCTGTAGGGTCGCTATGAGTCGAAATTGACTTGATGGCAGTGGGTTTGGCTTTTTTGGTTTTTAATAAGATGTGAAAACCACAGGTCAGAAAGCTATGTGACTTGCTGAGACTAAACTGCACATTTTCTAGCTTATAGCCATGTGTTCTTCCATACATCACTACTTCTAATGGAGAATGGCCATCTATATGTTTTCTTCAATTCAGTTGGAAAACAACTTTTCATAGTTTAGAGTAAGTATAGAATGAGACAAATGAGAACCCTTAGAGTGAGCAGAAGTCCAAGTTGTTTTAAGAAATATGTTGTGTTCCTCTTCTGAAGTAGCACAAAGCTGTAGGGATACAAAGGTGGATGAACAATGGTCTTAGCCCTCAAGTAGCTTGTAGGCTCTTGGGAAGATCAGTAAGAATTCAGTTGTATTAAAAGGAAGGTAAAAATTAAATGCTTTCGATAAATAAAGCAAAAAAAAAAAAAAAATCCCAGCAGCTAGAGATCAGAAACAACTTATGAAGGAAATTAGGTTACAGTTAGGTGTTAAAGGAAGTATTCCAGTCCGAGGGGATTGTATCATTACGGACAGAGGAAAGAGAACACAGTATATTTGAGGAGTCTTATGTGGTTGAGGTATAGGGGTGTGAAAGAAGTAGCAGAAAGAATTAACATGCGACAGTGGTTGCACAACGTTGTGAGTATACTGTCACTAATAGTAAATTTTATGTTACTTGTATTTTACTGCAATAAAAAAGAATTATCAAAATAATAGATGTGTTACTGTTAAACATTTTCATGGTAAGTTGATATTTGATTCTCTTAATGACCATACCAGACATGTTCTAATGTCACCATTTTATTGATAAGTAAATTTAGTCTCTGGGCGGCCAGAAAACTTACTTAAGAGTCAGTAGTTAATAAATAACATAGTTTGGACTCTAACTTATATCTTCATCCTCCTGATGCCTTCCTGTGATATCCTGCTGCCTAATTGAGGCCAGCCTTAAATGCCATGCTAAAGAGGCTAGACGATGTTCTACATTTGATGGAGAAGCATTGGAAGACTTTGAACCAAGGAGTGTCTTGAACATAACTATTCCAGCAAGATTTATGGGCATTGCACATAATTACAGATACTAACTGTTAGAAGTACTGTGAAGGAAAGTACAGGATACCATTTGAAAATAAACCAGGGGAACTGACCTGACCTCTGGGGTTCAGGGACAGCCTTTCTGAGGAAGTAACATCTAAGATGAGACTTACAGGATGAGTAGAATTTATCCATGGAAAGAATGGGGGAATGCGTGTTCTAGACCCATTCTCAAATCTGTTTGAAGTCCGTGAGATGAGAAGGAGCTTGGTGGTCACGAGGAACTAAAAGAATGCAAGCATGTTTGGAGTACAGTGAGCAAGAAAGAGGCATGACAGGAGGCTATAGATCCAGGCCAGATCTTCTGATCCTTCTTAAGAGATGTTATATTATCCTAAGTCCAGTAAGAAGCCACTGAACTGGGTTTTAAAGAGGGAAGTAATACCGGATTTGTATTTAAGAAGCTTGTGGCATAATTGATCATTCTGACTGCAGCTCTGTGGAGACTGGATTGGACACAAACAAGAAGTAGGGAGACCAAGAGGAGGCTGTTACAGGATTCCAGGCAAGAAATGGTGATGATGTAGACTAGATTGATGGCAATGGGGATGGAGAGAGGTGAACTAATTCCAAATATATGTATACTGTGTACTCTTACAGGTGGGAATTAGAGTTGATTGCAGAAAAGTCTCTGAAGAGAGTTGAGATCCTTATTAGATAGGCCAGGTGGAACACCTCGAGGGCAGAGAGCCAGCAGCCAGTTTTATTCCAGACAATATCCAAGTAGCTCCTGTACACAGTAGGCATTTGCACAGGTTTGTGGATGACGACCTGGAAGTTACCCAGAGTTAGCCTCTGCCTACAACTTTATACCCAGGACAGAGTGCCTGACTCTTGTCAACTGGTATGAGATCCCAAGAATAGTCATGAAGGTGGTCATGGTTGTTAGTTGCCACTGAGTCGGCCCCCCGACTCATGGTGACCCCATGCACAAAGGGATCCCACCATTGTGACCTATAGGATTTTCATAAGTAAATCACCAGGCCTTTCTTTCTAGTCTTTCTTATTCTGGAAGCTCTGCTGAAACCTGTTCAGCAGCATAGCAGTATGTAAGCTTCCACTGCACTGTTGGAGCTTCATTGGCCAGGAGTTGAACCCAGGTCTCCCTCCTGGAAGGAGAGAATTGGCCACTGAAGCACCACTACCCTCTTTGAAGATGATTAAAGGCTTGGAAATCAGTGCATTTGCTGGAAAGAGAAATGTGATTTCTTCAGCTTTCTGCCAATGCTCCCTGAGCGAAACAGTGAAATTTCCAGAGGTCAGGGTTTGACAGAGCCACCAGGCTAGGCATTCTCTTTTTAAAATATAAAAGTATTAGGGGTTTTATGTTTTTATGAAATATTTCAAATATAGAAAAATACAATGAACACTCATATACCCACCGTCTGGCTTCGTTAAATTTTAACATTGTTCAATTGTTTCATAAAAAATATTCTGACAGATACAACTGATAATCCCCAAGTACCATTCACTTCCTTCCCTAGTGATTATGATCATGAACTTACTGTTCTCATTTGTGTTTTTGTATTTTTACAGTATATTTATGTGTACATAAAATATATATAGTATTGTTTTATAACTTTTAACTTTAAAAGGTTGTGGTGTTGGGATCATTCTGCAGCTTGCTTATTTCACTCAGCTTTGTTTTGAGATTTTGTTATCTTGACATACTTCTAATGTATTTATTACATAGTATTCTTTTATATGTAAAACATATCCATTCTCTTGTCTAGGGCCATTTAGGGGTATTTACAGTCTCACTGTTATAAACAGTGTTAGAATACACACATTGTCCTTGTGCATATGGATGTGAATTTCTCTTAAAGATTATTAGATGTTTCTAAATTGTTCTTTCAAGTACATAAACAAATCTACATCATCGCCATTCCCCAACGGTGTGTGAAAGTTTCTGTTTTTCCATATCCTTCCCAACGTCTTTAAAGTTTTGCTTTTTGCATTTGGAACTTTGAGCCACTAAGAATATATTTTTGTATATGGTAGTGGGAGTGAGGTTGAGATCTAATACATTTTTTCCAAATGGATAACCAGTTGTCCCAGAAATACTTAAGTGTATTATCACCTCTGTCATATGTCAAGTTGCTTCATATATATCTGTTTCTGGGCTCTCTGTCCTGTGTGTCTATTTGTCTATTTCTGCATCAGTAGCATACTATCTTTATTATAGCTTTATAAAGTACTTGCTATTGGTAGGACAAGTTTCCTTCATCTCGTTCTTCAAAGTTGTCTTGGCTACTCTTGGCCCTCTACTGTTTGATATTAATTTTAAGATAAATTTGTCAAGTAATTTTCTCTCAGCGGTTTTACACATTTTTAAAAACGTTAAGAACCTTATAGTTTTGTTTGCTGTTGTGAATGGGATTTTTTTTTTCCTACTGCGTTTCTGTTGGTTATTACTGGAGTGGGTATGCTGTTGATTATTTAATGTTGATCTATATCTGGCCACATTGCTGAACTCATTAATTCTAAAAGTCTATCTTTTTCATGTTTCTACACAGACAGTGAAACTACCTACAAATAAGAGCAGTTTTAATTCTTCATTTCCAGTTCTTATACCTTATTTCTTTTGCTTGTTTAACTTCTACTTTTATTTTTAAACACAACTATCCATAAAACCTTAACCCTCACCCGAGTCATCAGCTGTCACAGTCAAATATTTGATTAATTTCTGTACTCATTGTTTCTTGTATCTTATACCTTTCTTCTGGGTTTATTTTTCTTCTTTTTGAAATACACTGTTCTGTTTCTGTTAATGAGGATCTATAGGCAGCAAACTCTCTCCTTTTTGCTTACCTGAAAATGTCTTTATTGTCATCCTAACTCATAATCTGTCTTTTCTCCAACAAAGAATGTGTCTTTATTACTGATGTTCTGCAGTTTCACTATGCTGTAC